AAAACAGTCCAATTTTCAAAACTTTCACATTCTTGAAGGCCATAAACCATCTAAAAGAAACTGAGAGAAAAAAACATAAAGGCGAGCTTCCAACAACCTGTTGGCTCGATTATACTTCTGATATCAGGTTTAGCGGGATAGTTATCGAGAAAAGTCCAAAAAACGGTCAAAGAATGAAAAGTTAAAATTTCCGAGAATCATAGCTTTTCTTTTTTTTAAAAAAAACATGACAAAAGCCGCTTCTTCAGGAGAGACTCACCCAATATGTTATCTCGATTGAACCAAAAACCTAGGTTTGGCAGGGCAAAGCCAAAAAACGGCCAAAAAATCAAAAATTCGACTTTTTTGAACACATTATTTTGCATCAAAAAAGTTTGGGCGTAATCTTGTATGCAAAGACGCTTCCCACAACCCTGTTTTGGATTGAACCCAAAATCTAAGATATGATAATGTATTTTGTGGTTAAAATTATAAAGTTTGGAAAAAAAAATCTCAAAAACATTTGACATTTCCGAGCACGATAACTTTTTGTGCAAAAAAATTGTGATTGCCCACTAATGCAGGGGTGATTCTCACTGCCCTTTATCTCAATTGAACCCAAAAATCTTAGTTTTGAGAGGTTGGTTTTCGAGAAAAATTGAAAAAGATTAAAAAAAAACGGTCAAAAATTACTATTCCGAAGGCCATAGTTTCTTGCGTAAAATTAATCGGGCAGAAGTGCTTATGAAGGCCAGTTTTCAAATCCAATCTATTCGTTGAAAGCAAAATCTCCAATTCTGTAGATTGCAAACCAGGCCAACAATCATTGAGCAGACACAAGTTAAGCCGAAAAAAACTTACTAGTTAAAAAAAAACTTTATAAATTTCAAGTAACCCTGTAGTAACTAGTTCCCAGCCAGTAGTTAAATTTAAAATTTAAATTTTCAATTTGAATTTGAAGAGCATGTCAGGTGAAGAGCAGGTTAACTGATTCAATTGATTTTGTTAAACTAGTTGTTAACCAGAAAAAAGTCTACATTCCGATTTAATATTGCTTGCTAATCGCAAGCGTAAAAATAACAGTGAAAAGTTTAGAAAATGGGTAGAAGGATTTTTGAGGGAAAATTTTTTCAAAAAAAGTACATTAAGTATTAAAATATTCGAAAGCGTCAAAAATAAAACAAAACACCCATACAATTTCATAATACCCGTTTTTACCAAACAGGAAATCTAGGCTAACAAGACATCTGAAATTCAAATTAGCTACTGAACAAATCTTACGAAGCGCAAACCAGGCCAACAATCATTGAGCAGACACCAGTAAAGCCGAAAAAAACTTACTAGTTAAAAAAAACTTTATAAATTTCAAATTTCAATTAACCTTGTAGTAACTAGTTCCCAGCCAGTAGTTAAATTTAAAATTTAAATTTTCAATTTGAATTTGAAGAGCATGTCAGGTGAAGAGCAGGTTAAGGGATTCAATTGATTTTGTTAAACTAGTTGTTAACCCGAAAAAAGTCTAAATTCCGATTTGATATTGCTTGCTAATCGCAAGCGTAAAAATAACAGTGAAACGTTTAGTAAAAATCTGAGTCCGTAAATTGATGAAGCAATCGGACGACTGTCAATTGCAGTTATAGTGGTATACCTAGAAATATCCATACTTTGGAAATAGAGAAAAAAACGACAAACAAGCAGACAAACAAAAGTCCGGCATTTCAATTTTTTCCGAAAAAAATTAATTTCATACAAACCGTGTTCGAACAAACCGTGTTCGAACTCCAGAATTAAGGGTGCAAAACAGCCGTGAGAAATGGAAAATGGTTAACGAACAAGGAAACATTTTTTAAAAAACAGTTTTCAATAGTACTCCAAGTACCACACCAATACTTTCATATTTCAAAAACGCTACTATGAAAAAATTAACCACGCTGAACTGTCAATTTAACCACGTCTAAAAATGTATAATAAACAAGGATAGCCGGTTACTGTGCCAGTGGCACAGAATGTTCCGAACAATTTATCAAAAAATACAAAAAAAAACAATTTTTAAAGTTAGGGTAGTTTTTTTTTCAAAAAGGCGCCAAAAGTACTAAAAAAAACAACGTCACTAGAGTTCAACTCAGTTTTTACGTTTTAAATTCAGCTTTTTGTAAGCTTTCGAGCCATTAAAATAATCTATTGTAAGCCTGCTCACTCGCTTTATTCGCTCGAATTAAGACGAAAACTAAAAATTTCCAAAACTGGTCAAAACTAGCTGAAACTTCATATGCAAAAAAAAAGTAAATAATAAAAAAAAGCAAAATTTTTTAAAAAAATTGCGCTTTCGTTATTGGGGAATTTAAATTGCATTTTATTTACGTAATAGGCTTCAGTTATTTTTAAAACGCCATAAGTCGAACCGCCGTCATATAAAAGTGAACGCGAAATGATTCTAAAACTCGCTGAAGAAAAGCAGAGAGAACACACGACCTAGATAGGTGAAAACTCGCGGTCGTTTTCTAACACTGATAAGTCCGCCAAAAATACTGAATTTGAACCTTCGAACCTTAGAAAACGATTGTTATATTTTCGATTGCTACGATTGATATATTTTCAATTTGCCCTCGCGTATTTATGGTAGGCACTTATTAAACAGCACTAATTTGAAAAAACTTTTTGACAATTTTTTAAAACTATGGCTGGAACTCTCTGTGCTACTTCCTCAGTAAACGGCTATTCTTTCTTATCAAAATTACTCTTGTTCAGGAGTATATTTTATGCAAAAGAATAAGTAAATTGGCTTGTTTTTCCTAAAACAATTTTCTCTTGATAATTTGATGCCGATAGCCGATGAAGGCAGAAAAAAATCCAACAACGCATAAGGATTTCATGACTCATGGGCGAAAATTTGAGCGCAAAAAACTCGAAACATACCATCAGATAGGACAATAACGCAGGCGAAATAAACGCCTTACCCATTAGCAGATGTAAGTTTTTGATGGAGTTTAATTCTTCGAATATTTTTTCATTTTTTGGTAAATTTTAAATTGCTGTTTAGTAAAAACGTAATATAATCAATTCTCCAAGCATCTAGTTAGCATAGAGAAGCTTATTTTGTCACTTCGATCCTCAAAACTGCTGCACCTGTATCTTGAACAATTCGGAATAGAAAAGGTTTAATTTTCATTTAGACCTAAACAAAATCAATAATTTTTTATCTCGACAACCTAGTCTTTATAGGGGACAAATATTGGAAGGAAGTGAGAAAATATCTAAGGGAAAGTCAAACTTGTTGAAAAGGGTTCTACCCTTCTTGATTCTATCCTTCTTAAGTTTGTTGGATTACGTAAGAGGCTCACTTTGATAGTTTTGATAGCAATTGAAGCGATAATTTAGGCGTTTTTTATTGACTAAAACACACAAAATATATCGTTTTAGGAGTATAAGTTTGCGCGGAAACTCGCAAATCAAATTGAATCAAAATATTGCTGCTTAATGTTTAGGCAAGTTGTCTTCATCTTTGTTCACCTAAGGTTAACACAACTTGAAGAAAAACGCATTTTAAATTTTGTCCGAAAAAAACCGCGCACGTTTTTTTCCTCACTTTCAACGAAAAGTGAAAAAACGAAGAGCAAAAGTTTTTGAAATCACGCAACAAATTAACGACATTCAGACAATGGTAAAAAACGCTTCTCGTTTGATGAGTGACCATTCAGTTTGTGAAAAATTTTAAATAATATGATCGGATTGTCAAAACCTTGCTTCTGCATCAAGGTAATTTCTTAAAATCTGGACTAAAAAGCAATTTTTCTGTCATAATTCTGTAAACCTTGGATATTATAAAGCATGACAAATATTTTAGCAACTCAGTTAATTGGCTGATAAGCCACTGCGCAAAACAAACAAGAGATTTTTTGAAATGGGAGTAACAGATTTCTCATCCATTTTAAATTAACTTATTATATCGAATTGCAGAATAAAACATGCTCTTTAGGATAATGAGCAGATAATAACTGAAGATGACATTTCAAAGCAATCAAATCCTCTTGAAATTTTTCGTAAAAAAATAAAACTTCTTGAAAAAAACCATTTCTGCTTTAATAATAATTTGAGCTTGCCAACCACCATTGAGTTTAAAACAATCTAACCTAGAAAAAAATGAAACAAGTAAGAATAATATGAAAAAAATGATCAAAAAATTCAACGAAAAAGAAATGCGCAAAACGCATCAACTCAACTAGCTGCAACAAAAAGATTTCCAGTCAGTCTGAAAATATTTGATAATTTTCATATTTTACTCTTCTTTTCGACAGAGCGTCTGGAGTTTGATTTCAAGTTTACTTGATAGCTATTCAAAAACTTCAATATTCAAAAAATTTCTGCAAAGAAACTGAAATTTTTTTAATGATTTTTTTTTCGATTTGCTATTCATTTTTCAAAATAAACTGTTTTCCAATTAGCCTATTCTAATATGACTGTTGAATACGCGTTATTTCTATTATTTCAATCAGATCTTTATCACACCCTGCAGAAACACGACACTAATTTGACAAAACTTTTTGACAATTTTTCAAGGCTATGACGGAGCACTCCGTGCTACTTGCACAGTAAACGGCTAACCTTTTTATCAAATTTACTTTTGTTCGGGAGTATATTTCACGCAAAAGAATAAGTAAATTGGCTTGTTTTTCCCAAATAATTTCATCCTGATAAGTTGATGCAGATAGCTGATGAAGACGGAAAAAAATTCAACTAAGCATAAGGATTTTATGACTCATGGGCGAAGATTCGAGCGCAAAAAACTCAAAATATACCATCAGATAGGACAATAACGAAAGCACAACAAACGCCTTACCCATTAACAGATGTAAATTTTTGATAGAGTTTAATTCTTCGAATATTTTTTTCCTTTTTTAGTAAATTTTACATTGCTGTCTAGTAACAAACGTAAATATTTGGATATCCAAGCATCTATTTAGCAAAAAAAGCTAATTTCACCACTTTGATCCCCAAACCTGCTGATCCTGTATCTTCAAAACTTTCGAATAGAAAAGTTTTAATTTTCATTTAGATCCAAACAAAATCAATATTTTTCAATCTCGATAACATAAGTCTTTATAGGGGACAAATATTGGAAGGAAGTAAGAAAAATCTAAGGAAAAGTCAAGTTTATTCAAAACGGTATTTTGCAAATCACAATTCTCCGAAACAGCAATGCACACACCATGTGCCTAGAAATTAGCACTCTTTAACGGCAGTTGAAGGTCTAATCACAAAATTGGTTCTAATTCTGAGTCATTCGAAAACATTCAAATATAGAGCAGGTAAAATATATAGCATTTATAAAATCTCTTAGTATGAAAAAGCACTTTTCTTTTGCATTTTATACAAAGGAAAATATTAACCATAGAAGTGTCCTAATCACCTTATTTCTATTGACCAGATATTATTCATGAAATTAATTGAACTAAATGGACTTGATTCAGTTTTTAGGACAGCGCAATACCGGAAAACAAAGTATACTTCTAACAAAAATAGGAAATATGGGTCAGAGTGAAAAGCAAAACGAGTCAGGAAAATGAATATTAAGTTTATCAAATATTATGTGCAGTTAATTTAGTTTACTTTAGTTTAATTATTATTCAAGATAGCAAATATGATGAAGCTCGAAAAGAGGATACTGGGAGTCGCATTCAATTAACAGAGAAACAATTACCAGTAGTCACGTTTCAATCCAACTTAGCTTAATCTTAAACCCACAAGTAAAAAATTCTGATGAAAAATGGCAATGTTTGGAATCCTTACAAAGCCTATGCAGGCATTGGTGATTGTGATCAATTTCTCGAGCTTCGCCATTTCACAAATAAGAGGGTAGGAGTTGGTTCTTTCGGACATGTATCAACATGGACAGAAAAGTGAGGGCAAGGAAGGGCAACAAGAATGGAAGATTCAAGTGTTGTTAGGAAGGTGGGGAGATGAGGGGGGAAAGTAGACAGTGAGAGGCAGGGGGAAGGGGGTCAAATAAGTCAGAGAAAAGAGAAAGTAGGGATGACAAAAAGGGACTAGTAGGGTAGGAAAGGAAAGGAAAGAAAGACACTCTGCTATAACAGTATAATCTTGAGAGCACTAACAAGTAACAAGAGAATGACTTGTCTTTGACAGGGTGTTTCGTTTCGCACACCAACCATCAGTCTCAAATGAATTATCGTGGCGGGGCAGGAGAAGACGACAAGTCATTGTTGTTCTATCGGGCATCAAAATACAACAAAGCAAAATAAAGAAAGAACTATCAAAAATGAACAACCAAACACAATAGTATATAAAACCAAGCTGAAAAGTCAAATCCATCAGCACATCGCAGAACAGATTCTCATGAAGTAAGTGATAATCCAAATCAAACCATAAAACAGGAAATTTATTATAAATAAATACATACTAAATTTAGCGCCAATGTTGTGAAACAATGATAACTTCTCTGAATCGAGTCGCACTCGAACGTTATTCATATTCATCTTCCGGTCGACTTGGTAGAAACACGTTAGATTAGACTAGCAAAAAGAAACTAGGTGATTTATTTGGTTGTAAAGAGTAATACGTCCACTAATGAAATTTAGACGTGATAATTCGTATCCACAAATCTAATCGAATTTAAAAATCACCAAAATTAACGAAACTGCAAACAAATCCAAATATTGTTGTTAAACTGTGCAAGTTTTAAACTATCTTCGATTCCAGAAAGAAACCGAACCAATCAATGATATCAAAAATAACTACAGGTAATTAATTATTAAGAAGAAAATTACATAATACTACTCGATTATCTATCTATCAATTTGTTAATTAATAGTCAGTCGCAGCACTTACAAAAAATTAAAGCATATTTTAAATAGCCAAGTTTCATTCAACGCTTCTCACTTCAGTTTATTTCGGCACTTCCAACCACGTAATCCTTTCGTTTTTTTTTCACGTTTTCCTTTTCCGTTCGCGTGGTGGCTTTTTCTGTTCACAGATATTTCTCGATGACAACTACAGATCCAAATTCGGACATCACAACAATCTGGTTGTCGCCTTTGGGCACAGCGCAGATTGGCCTGGCGAACTGGAGAGCTCTTCCATGGAGCACCCGGATGAGTTTTCCTTGTCTTGAGATAACCTGCACCTGTTGGTAGTAGTTGTCTACAGTGATCAAATTTCCAGCAAGGTCGAAGTTGATCTGCTTCAGTCGTTTGAAGCTCGTATTCTCTCGTACCGGAAACTTCCACTTGTGTCGTCCATTGCGATCGTACAAGTAGATCAAGTTATCCTCCGCATTTCCTAATTATATACTAACAGATCACGAACACGAAATCTAATTTGTTTCTCGTGAGAAGCACTTATGTTTCGTCAAAAAAGGGAAACTAGCATAAATAAAGGCTAGTAAACTTAATTGGCTTGGTTGGCATTAATTTGGATTTCTTTTTTTTCGAATGGTAGTCATGATATACCCAAACATCTCCTTAATTAAGGAAAGCCTCTTATGTTACTCAGCTCACCCAATGCAATGAAGCCAGTAGCGGACACAGCCATATGACTGATCATGAAATTGGCGTTGAAGAGGAGGTTGAAGCGAGTCTCCCTCCATTTGGACATTCTGGTGCCGAACTCGGAAGTGATGGCATGTTGCTCATACACATTCATGCTCTTTGTACTTAGGATTATCTGTCCAGTTGGGGAGGTGCAAACATCATGGATTCTCTCGTTTATTGGCAGGTCCGGAACGAAGGGACTCTTATCCATTAGATCCTGCAACAAACTAATCGTTAATTATTCGCCTCATTAATTAGTTAATGCCAAATTGTTGCGTGTCGGTGACCTTGGGCAGTTTAATCTGGCCTTTGTAGATTAAATAGATTGTAACACTGATTTACCGGGTGAAACCAGCTAAAAACTATTTCCAATGTCCAAGTGAGCAGTTTGAAAGTAGGCTACATTATTTATTTGCCCGAAAAGATATTGCAAACAATTTCGCATTATGTATAGTTCTATCATATCGAATGTCAGCCACGTGTAACAATTAACAAGAATTCAAAACTAAACTATTATCACTTCTAAAATCTTTTTTAAATGAACATTTAGCAACAGAAATTTTTTGACTTCCTTTTTTGACTTCTTACCTTACCAGTTGATTTAACTTTGTGTACTGAAGCGAAACACTCGATATACGAGCACACTTTCTAAAAAGCGATCAAGTTTTAAGGTTCAAAACCACGCCCAAATGAAACTTCAATTATTTTGCCAAAAAAACATTTTCTGCACGGTCAATTATGCATTTTTATCTGCACGGTCAATCATGAACTTTTATCTGCTATGGCTAATTGACATAATTCTTTAGGGTAAACGCTATTAATAGAACTGAAATTAGTGTACGTACTTTGTCGACGAAGTAAAGCTCGCATGCTGCTCTTTCGTTCTCTTCCACGAGTAACATAGTGTTGTTAGTGAGAGTGTGCACTCCCACTGGACTGGCGGTGAAGCCCTTATTGTTCGTCCCAATGTACCTGCCCACTGAGATGTCGAACGACTTGATCCACTCGTTCCTCTTGTCAATCACTGCGAAGTCCTCTCCCAACAGGGCACAGTCACGGATGTCGGTGAACTTGTCGAAGGTCGGGTTCACCACTTGGAAACGCAGAATAACCTACAAAAAAGAATCTCTTAGATGGGGCTTTTCTGGGAAATAGGAATCTTTTTGCGCATAATTAACTTAATCCCAGTACCCAAGAAAACTATTTACTTGATTTCGATACCTTACGAAAAAGGAGAAACTTATGATCGCTCGAAAAATGACTGGAATTGGCAGGAAACAGTCGTAAACTATCAAATGAAAGTAATATTTCTTAAACATTTTAGGTGCTAAAGATAACGACATTGTTAGTTGTTTGATAATCACCTACCTGAGCATTGTTTCTCACATCTGAGTAAGTGCTCTAAAAACAAAAAAAAAACTGATTCAACTAGTACACATTGGGATACGAATCAAAGATGTGTCTGTACCAACCTGAGCGGAATTGTGAGGATTTGGACTGCTTGTTCCCATAACTGTCGACATCGGCATCTGGCGCCTTATGGGAGAATCCTTACTGGAGGAACAAGTCGAACCCGTATCGTCCAGCGAGTATGACGTCATTGCAGCTGCTATTAAGTCACTTCCAGCTGCGGTCGAACTGATGACTGAAATTGTGTCGTCTCCTCGCATACCGACTGAAGAAGGATCTTCGCTGAACATGACACTGTCCAGACTCTTGTGAGAAACAGCTGGGGATAACTCGACAGCAACTGCGGCTGCTGAAGATGGGATTTCGGTTTGAACCACGTTTACTGGAGCTCTAGTGTCAACATATTCTCCACATGTTCCATTGCTGAGAAACTCTTTCACCAGCTCAGAGAAAGCGTCCAAATCGACAGCAGAAGTCTAGGAAAATGACCGCAAAATAAACATGACTCTTAACGCGTACTCAAATTTAGAAAACCATGAACATAGCCAAGAGACAGCTTATAAAGAGTCATGAACGCAAGTGGAACCTGATCTAAACTACATTTTATTATTGGATAAATTAGATATTTTATCACTATAAAATATTTAATATTAACCAATCATATTCATCTAACTAACAACCCACTTATTTGTAAGTGCTGAAATTACTTAAAATTTCAGCACCAGAGAGATTTGAATTTAACTTAGAAATTAGTTACCCCTCCAAGAAAACTTCAGCAGTCGCAATAAGCCAGTATACTCTAGATCTATTAAGCCTAGCAGAGACTAGTTAAACACCCTGAGACTAGTAGATGTAAGAGTAAGATTAGGATCGGTATTAGACTAACAAGTTGCACGAATCTATCCGGCCGAAAATAAGATAGCGTGACGAGCAGACGGTGTACCCGTCCGAAATTACTCTATGAGTTATACACCCCTAACACATAACTCATCTGGTGCGACCATAAGTCTCGAATAAAGACCTTAAAAAACAAAGTAGCTTAAAATTAACCAAAAATAGATTAGAAAATAGACAAAACATTTTCAAAATGTTACACGACAATAACTTAATTGAAATGTCTCTACGACTCAATAGATCACAGCCGCTATTCCGCAAAATACGAGAACTACCCGGTATTGGAAAAAGACCTCGGACAAGAGACGACATACGACTACATAGAAACTTACCATTTAGTTTCATGGTCGTACGGCAAAAGCCAACACAAACTTTTATATTTAGAATCTTACTAGCAATGAATTTAGATTTTCATTTGCAAACATAAAATCCTTGAAGGAAATCTTCAATGATTATTTCAGGCGCTAGATAAAAATATTATTGTTCAATAACGATTGATAAAAAGATCTCAAATCGTTCCCCCAATTCTGCAGTAATATATAAAACATATTTGAAAAAATATTTATTGAAAACAAAAATAAAAATTAGTAGCATGACAATAATTTGTTAGTATATATAAATCATCCTGTTGTTCCAGCTTCATCACCTAAACTTAACAGCAATCATAAATCAACTAATATCATCAAAAACTAAAACCTTTTACCAAATAAATTTAAATTATTTTAAACTTAATTTTATTTCATATTAAACCAGATCATCAAGGCTTTCCTTGGATCTAACTCAATTTTCTATCTTATAAATTTTAAATTCTGATCATCAAAGCTTAGCCTTGGATAAAAAAAACAATTTTGTTCTCCCCCACCCACTTATCAAGTGTCTAACGACCTCAAACGTCGATTCACTATCCAACGATTCACTATCCACCAGATCATCAAGGCTTTCCTTGGATCTAACTCAATTTTCTATCTTATAAATTTTAAATTCTGATCATCAAGGCTTATCCTTGGATCAAGAAGAACAATTTTGTTCTCCCCCACCCACTTATCAAGTGTCTAACGACCTCAAACGTCGATTCACTATCCAACCTTTTCAAAAGACCCAGGACTAATAGAAATTTTTAATCACGCTAACCATTCAAATTAGGCTAAATAGTGAAGAACTTCGGTTATTCATCCTTCACTTGAACCCTCCTCTTACCTGACCCAGGATAAATCTTAAACTTAGTAAGTTTAAAATAGTATCTAACGAACTACTTGCGTTCTAATTATACCTGATTCTTGTGGATCGATTTCCTATTCTCCAACCCTTGAACACAATCACTACCCCTAAGTAAGATTAAGTAAGTTAACACCTTAACTTAGACTAGCCACGAGAAAGTAAAATCATTCTTCGGAATCGATATGTTTTTCTCTCCAACCCTGAACAAAAAGACCCAGGTTAAGCTAACCAAAAAATCGTAAGGACTAACAGTCTAGGAAAATTAAAATCACTTAACTTCTTGCATCCCTCATCCTAAACCTTATGTTATTGAAAAATTTAGGAAATAAACAAACAATCGTATTACACAATTGTGAAATAGACAACCAAAAATACGATCTTGTAATAACCCCGCATACACAAACAGTTGAATACATTCGAACAAAACGACAAACAATAAAAAGAAAAATTATAAGTAAACAAAGACAGATAACACGAAAAAGATTTTCAAAAAATAGAAATGCATTCTCCGAATCAGAAGTCAGTAGTCTAGACGCACTATACAAATTAAAAGAATCAGTAAATAAAAATTGCCCAATCCATGATCAGTTATATTTTTCCGATTCAGAAACAGCTTCAAACTCATCAAAAAGAGGAAAAAGAAGAATAAAAAAGATATATAAACACAAACCAGTACATCTATACAATTGGAATCAACCAATTAGACATATTGATAATTATATATTAGCAGTTATCAAACGAAAAAATGAGCAACACTCGAAGTGACGAAAGTCCAGACAAAGAAGCAGTTTTCCCTTTGTTATAAATTCACTCAGTGATAGAGGACAAACACGATTTTGCAAAAATTTACTCGTAATATTGTTTGAACCAGGAATCAGTCCATGCAAATCAGAATTCCCAGATTTAAAAAACAAAAGACAAATTATAGAACATCTGAAAGACAAATGTAACCTAACACAACAATACGGAATCTACACCATAGAAATCAGTACACCAAGAACACTTCATGGTAAATATGTTATCCAAACAGACGATATTGATTTAGAATTCTCAAAAGTATTCACAGAATATATCAAAAGCATACAATATCAAAACTCACAGAGAGCAAACTCAATATTCACCAACGAAGTTTTTACAATAATATATAGTTATTTATCTATATTAGAAAGAACAGAAGCTCAAAGTATATCACCAGTCCAAACATCAAAACATACAAAAGTAAGAAACGAAATCGTCGCATTTTCAACATTTTTAAACGCAATCCGTGAAATTTTTGCCAATAATGATGTCTCACAAAACACTAAACATGATTTACAAAAAATACTAGCATGGTTTACAATTGATTATTTTACACATAATATCGACTTAATTGAACAAGCCAGAAAAACCTTTAGAACCCAAAGTACCAATGACGACACTGTCATTGCAGAACAATCAGATTACGTTTGGGATCCTGAATGGTCTCATCCAGCATTTTAAAATTTTCCAGCAGATATCTCAAGTCAAGCAATAAGTACAATATCTTTTCACCAAGATTATGTAAAAATAATACCACTAACAAATGACTTTAAATTATAATACATTTTTAGTTGATACACAAAATAACAGCTTAAATTCAACAGTTATACATCATGAAAATCTCAATGGAACTAGAAATCTTACACAACAAGATATTCAAACACCATCACACTTCATAAATGAAGAAACAGTTCAAACAACAGTAACAACTACACAACAAAGTATCTCACCAATACGTCCAAACCTCACAACACCGAAAAATAAAAATACAACACTACCACAAGTAACCTTACAATCGACCGTTAAACCTTCGGTTGCTCCAAAATATTCACATATGGACTATCAGACACATAGACCAATGACAAAACCGTCAAAAACACGAAAAACGTTCACAAGAAACAGTTTTGCAGAACACAACTATAATTATGTAAATCAATCAAAAACAAATTAACCCCCCCCCCCCCGAAAAAATAAGCAAAACCTAAACCAAGTATGTTCTCACTATTGGAATCTTCCAAATACACCGACCAATTCAGTAAATTTCCAAGATAATCCACACCCTCCACAGGATTATAGTGAAAATTACCCATTTTTTCAACAAAATAGGAATAAACAACTTATTACACAAATTACTTATCATCTGATGATGATGATTATCATCAACCAGACATTTTGCACCATATACACAAGAATATCGCACACAAAGACCGCGACAATCTCAACCATCCCAAAATATGAAGATTTACCCACAAAATCCAGCAGATATGCAGAATCAACAACCAATGCATATACAAAACTCAATTAACGCACAATCTTTTCAACCCAAACAATCACAAAACCCAATGACTATGCATTCCTACCAACCAACTCAAATGCAAACTGAAATACCGCTACCATATTACCTACAACAACATGAAATAACAAAAAATCAACTTACAAATTTCTCGCAAATACCAAACGCCGCAGAGTCACTCCAAATGACGATGAATCCATATTTAATGGGAGGATCGTCAATAACATCCAATAAACCATTAATGGTATTCACAGGAACAGACCCTGAATACTCAGTAGAAGATTACCTAAATGCAGTCACAGCAAATTTAATTTTAAATATAGGACCCGAACCAATTAATACGCCACTCCATCAAAATTGGATACATAGACGCACAGCGTTAATACAAACAACACTAGATGGCGCAGCCCAAAAATGGTTTTCAGTACTACCTATAGAAATAAAATCAGATTGGAAAAGATTCACATAAGAATTTTCAAAAATGTTTGATTCTGCATGAAACAAACAACATCAAAGAGTTTTATGCAACAAAATTCGCAGATTACCAAATGAAACAATTAGCAGTTCGAATCGAAACACTAGTTCGAAAAGCATATTCACCTCAATTAAGGAAAATAGCTATAAAAAAGAGAGCATCTCATCCTTCCTCAATTCGAGAACCAGATTTAGATTTTAGAAAAATAGTAGATAAATTAGAACAAGCAGAAATCACAATGAAACTTGAAGAAACAGAAAATCTAAAATTACAGTATGTTAATAGGATCGAAACAAATACTACACATATAAATAACATACAAGGATCAGATATAGACCTGATTGAAAAATCACTGAAATATTAAAAATCTATGAAAAGAACCCAAACTTTAAAGGTAAGCCATCTTTCAAGAAATGGTGTAATTATTGCCGACGATACGGACACAGTATTGCCGAATGTAGACAAAAACAACAGGAAAATCAGAATAAACCTCAAAAGCGCAAAGAACCAAATAAGTCACTCTATCAATATATGAAAAAAGATCAAAATCTACAAAACAAGAATATACACAGCAATAA